TCGATGCTATTGCGAATTCTCCGCACGTTCCTGGCAGTGAAACATCAAGCACTGGTCGCGCATCACCATCTCCTGCTGCGCAATCGCATACGCGATCATTTTTCAGCAGTCGAAAGGGGTCGCAATCCAGGGGCTTGCGGGCTATATCGGACGCCATCACCGGTGGGGAAAAGGCAAACGCAAGCGCCGCAGATGTGTCTTCGCCACACAAAGATTCTCCAATGCAGTCACCTTCCCGGACAGGCTCAAGTACGCCGTCTGGTAACTCCATGTCCAAGAGTATTGAGCTTGACAAGGCGGATCCAAACAGACGGATGACCAGCAGTTCCGCCGCCAGCACAAAGGAAGCGCGGAAAAAGACCAAGAAACACGGCACCAGCGCCTACCTCAAAGGCCGTCAGCAAATCACTCCTCAGCAGGCTATGGAAAACTGTGATTATAGTGGGTGGATGAAGAAGAAGTCGTCAAGCCTGATGACGACGTGGAAGACGCGTCTATTTGTGTTGCGTGGCCGACGCCTTGCCTACTACTACACAGAAAACGATACCGAAGAGAAGGGCCTCATCGACATATCATCACATCGTGTATTACCGGCCAATGACGAGCGCATGACTGGACTGCACGCGTCATTGACTGGCGCTGCCTCCTCTCCAACTTCACCACAAAATGCCACCATCCAAACTGCGGCATCAACAGATAGCGCCAAGGGAATTCCAGGCATCGAGGCAGATATGTCGGGCATGTTCATCTTCAAGTTGGTACCGCCTCGTGCAGGTCTGCAAAAAGGCGTCCAATTCACCAAGCCAATCGTACATTATTTCGCAGTGGACAGCCTGGCAATGGGACGATTATGGATGGCCGCGTTAATGAAAGCGACAATCGACCGCGACGAGGCGCTCCCCTTTACAACGACTTACCAACAAAAGACGATTTCGCTCGAAAAGGCGCGTGCGATGCGCCAGCGTCCCCCGAACCTAATGGACGAGGACGCCGAAGGCAGCATGGCGGATTCTGAGCGCAAGAGCGAATACTCGAAAGAAAGTCTGCAGGAAAGCACGATCCACGAAGAAGACGAAAAGGGCCTTGCTATTTCGGGTCTCGATGACGCAAAAGCCCTCCTGGCTTATGCCGATAGCACGGATAATCTTGCTGTCGATCACAAGCACGATAGCACGGCTACAGCTATTGCATTATAAAGAAAGCAGCGGCTGAGCTTCCGAGGATGGGACTTCCTTTGCTGGCCTTGAGCGTTTTTTCGTCTTCATCTTGTTCTGTTTTCATCACCTCTTTACTCCGAGCTTACACGGCCTCAATGGCATTAATTAACACAACCTCTCTCACTCCCATCCCTCCCCTCTTCCCTTTTTCTTTGCAAAGTTTTTAGCGCGTACACACACTTTTGAAAGCATATATGTAGTAAAGAGAAGAACGTACGTTAGTCGGGACAAAGGGTGGTGTCGTCTGTGGTTTTTACATTTGAGCGAGCGAGCGAAAGCATTTTCACCAGCGCTTTTGATTTTTTTTTTCTTCTTGGTTCTGTACTTGTACTCAGACGTCCTGCTTCGCAGTCGTCGCCAGTTTTTCTTTTCTAATGTTTGCGAGTGTGTAGTAGTTTGCATGTGTGCATGTTTCTTATATGAAGAATAGATTTAGGAGTATATTGGAGAGTCGATTACCAGTATAAATATCTAACCAGAATATTTTATCCCCTCACCCCCCCTTTTTTTCCATCTCTTTTGTCTGTCTTGTGGGGCTGGTGAACAAGAAGATGTAGTGTCGGTGATGGAAAAGGGGGAAGGATTTTTATGTGTAGGAAGTGAGGAAATCATATACTTGTATGCTTGATCATACTCGTCTTTTATTCTCGCTCTTGACAAAAGAAATGATTGTGTAAGATGTTGCATTGTAATCCGTGCTACTAGCTCCATGTACGTAATTCCCCAAGGTATAAAAGTTGGGTGCTTTGACACAACATCTATTTATATAAGCTTCACGAAGTGGCGTCGGCAGGATGACCTGTGTCGAGTGCTGATTGTTATATTTAGTTTCTTGTGATTAAATTAATTCCTTGGATTCGGAGGGGCTCGCGCAGTGCGGCTCTTGTTGTGACTATTCTATATACAAGTGTGTAACCCAGCGGCTGGTAGGATGGATTGGTAGGAGTAAACCGTGTAGCGAGTGTCTATGTTGGATGGGGGGTATCATGACTTTGTGCAATTACAGTAGAAAAGAAATTCGTTAATGTTGACGCTGACGTTGTAGGTGAAGGGGAAGTGGTAGCGAAAGTTTAGACCTTCCGTCTCATCATCCGCTTCGGCTTGAGCTCGGTGTTGGATGCGCTTTCATGGGGCGCAAACCAATCTCTCAAGCCGCAGCGGTCTTCAAGCTGACGGAACAGGTCGTCGACCCGATCGAGCATCCATCCACTCTTTATTCTTCCCGAGGGCTTGGCATAGCCCAACTTGAATGTGGTCGAAATGGCACAGCTGCCGGCGTCAAAAGAAAACTGCATGCAGTCGGTCTGCTCTTCGCAAAGTTCGCGGCAGTGCTCAAACGATTTCCATGCGTTTCTTTCGAGTTGATTTGCTGCACCGGAATGGTCATGGGCGTTGTATTCCCTGTCCGCAGACATGTTGTCCCATTCCAATACTGACGTGTCAATCTTGGACCGGACCAGCTCCGTGAAGATATCTCGATGACGTAGAAGGATTTGATGTCGCTTGTACCAGTCCTGTTCAAACTCCCAAAGCTCTTCAATCTCGGCAGGTGAGACGTGGTGGTAGGTGATGGTAGGGTAACACCATAGGTCGCGGTCGATCTTGGATGTGGCGGGGTTGAGGGTAGCTGGTGAATCGCCCTGGAAGTGCGGGAATGCGCGGTGGAGTGGAATCTTGCTGTCTTCAAAAACCTTGCCCAGTCCACAGTCTCCGACCCAGTGTGTCTTGGTAAACTCTTCGTATTCCTCTAGGTGCTGGGATCGCTGTTCGGAAACCTTCATGATGGCCGGGTTGGACAGGGCAAAGCCAGCGCCGCCGTATGCGAACTCGACTTGGTTGATGTAGAGGTGTTTGCCAATGTAGTAGGGCTTGCTGTCGTCGAAGTTGGAGAGGTACTCGAGGAGGTTGTTCCAGCCCAGGTATGTGTCGGTCTCGATGAAGACATACCACTTGGCGTCAGGCTTCTCCTTGATGGCCTGGTCAATCATGGGCAAGAACTTCCACTTGTCCAGCTGCCATCCGGCGTTGTCGGTACGCATGTAATCACCCTGCGAGGAACCAGACAACGACGTCATGACCTGCTGTTGTGGTACTCCACGCCTTCCATGCTTTTGCAGCTGATGGTATAGCTTGAAGTCGTCGCTTTCTTGCTTGGTCTTGTCACTGACGCCCTTCAAGACGTCGTGGACAGCGTGGCCCTCAATCTCTTCGTCTAGATCCGAGTGGATGACATAGTGGGGCACACATTGCAACGTGGTCCGGAAGTGCACCGGTACCTTTTCAAGGGACTCTGTGGCACCAGTTCGTAGTACCACCAGGACGTCCTTGGCGAGCGGGGATTGAGGGCAGAAAATGTCGGACGAATCGTGGTGTGATGAGGCCTTTGCAGGATGGTGCAAGCGGGGTGTGGAGGCCTTTGTGAATATATTAAGGACAGATACAGAAACTATGGCGCAAAAGAGAAGGCGGCAGATGAGGTTGCGGTGAGGCATGTTGGTTTAGCGATGGAGAGTGCAGCACCAGGCTGAAGCACAAACGCGGATTAGTAAATGAGAGTATTTGTAAGGACGGTAGGCTGATGGAGAATAGAGGAGCGTGGCCGCAGCCATGAGACGCGGGCAGGTTGGGTAGGAGGCGGGGGGCGAGAGGAGTCTTTTTTTGCAGCAGTGGGCGTGAATAAGAAAAGAAGATGGGTTTCAGGGAGGACATGTATCTTCACGAGCGGCGGAGCAGCGGCGAAGATCGTCGGCCTCTGTCAAAATCATGAGCCCAAGGGTCCGAGGCGGCGTGGCGATCCATGCCTGTGCTGTGGGTTCAGTTTTGCGCCGGCTCCGTGACCTCGTGTCATGCCGTGCAAGTGAGATCAACATGACGGTCAAGGACCTTGTGCAGCTGCGTGCTTACTATTCGCAGCGACGGCGGCGATCAAGAGGGCGTCTGAAACGGGGCGGGAGGCTGTGGCTGGAGTGAATGGGATGGGCGAGTGTGGGGTGGATACCATATTCTCACATGCCGTGGTGTGTGTGTGAGGACAGTCGTCGTTAGTATGCTTACAGAGAGTTTCTGTTGGCGGGCACTTCAGGCAAAGACTCGGCACAGCGCACCTGGTTGGCCCGGGCAGGCCCGGAGAACTGGCGAGTTGCGAGATGCCCTGCGTCATTTTTGTTTCACCTTCCCCCAGTCGGGCAAAACGTCTTGCCGGAGCCGCTCTCTGCCCTTAGCCAACCGCCTCATCTTATCCACCTCGCCTCCCACCGCTGATCAGCATCTGCTCAAAATGAACGCGCGTCGCCCAAACGGGTACGTCCTGCCCACCTCGCCGTTGTACGCATGCCGCCCTTGGCTCCGCTTGACACGACTGCTTGCTCGACACAGCTCCTTGGCTTCTCCATGCTTCCCTTTTGGGCCCCTCCCTATCCCCACTCCCTCCTTCTACCCCTCTCTTTTAGCCTATCTACACACTCGTACCTGTCCATGACCAGTGTCCACGGTCTACTACTCACGTCATGGTCAAGCTGCAATCTTCCCCTCTCCGGGCGGTGTAGGCTCGGTCCGGCATCACTTTCTCCCTAACTACAATTCTGCTGTGTCACAAAGTCAAGCATTTTCTCTAAAAGGCTGATGACGATGATCTGAACTTATTTGACTATAATGCCTCACGCTGCGGACACTTCGCCGTGGTTTGTCGCAGCTTCGTCATTGCGTGTGTGCGTATGTACACCTTGCCTGCTTTGTGCTGATCATGTATCACAAGCGGAACTCCTATTCTTCTTCCCCCCTTCTCTACACCCGGATACAGCCAGTCCTGTTTGTCAACTCACCAGGGCAAGTCACCTCCTTGAAACTGATGGTCGGATTGTCGGCGTTCTTAAACCAGTCAAATCTCCACTTGCACCCTGCCTTGAGCTTCTCGGGAAAGTTGTCACATTCAGAACGATTCGAGATGCCACCGTATTGTTGACCCCATCCCGTGGATGGCGCGCCAAACTGTGCAGTACAGCCGTTAAAGATGCCTACACCACCACCTGGCATAGCAATATCAAAGTGGTTGTCTCCAAGGTCCCCACCCGTGTTGGTGGATTGCACAATCATCTTCTGGCCCACGACAGGGCCCGACGTGAAGGTCAACCTGAACATTGCCTATTAGTCGCCTTTGTTCAAACCCAATCTTGTCCATGTACTCACTCATAACAAGCACAGCATGAATCACGCTCAGACTTGCCGGCCAGCTTCACAGCAGCAAAGCCATATGCAAGGCTGTCGTTGACTGCCCATGGCGTCTGGTTAGTGCACATGAACGCAGTGCCACCGCTCTCGCATCCGTTCTTCGCCATCAGATCGCTAATGGGGTTGTCGTTCTTGTCACACGTCCTGAGAGGTTGGGTGACACTGGCTTTGCCCTCCCATGCGCAGGAGCCTTTGCAGCAGTCCCAGTAACGTGTCGTCTTTCCTGTGGACTGAGCAGCAACCGTGGCGAGGCCAGTGGTGAGGGCGAGAAGGGTGAATTGCTTAAGAGATACCATGATGGGCGAGATTGGTAGTCTTTTCGAAGATACTTGGCAAGTTGATGGATGATCAAATGTGCTTCCAAGACGCATATATATACTCTGATACTACCCAACGTTATTGTTACGATGGAAGGTTTCTAGACTTCCATCCCCACACCCTCTGCCCAGATGGATTCCGTTGTTTGGCTGCGCTGTCAAATCTTCTCCGTATCTGAAGAGTCTACAATCTACTCTTTACTTCAGCCGACGACCCAATGCAGTCAGCCTCCGGGGTGGGAACCTGCCCAGCGCAATACCTCATCACCCAATCATTTTGATTCACATACACAATGGGTGGGCAGCGAAAATGAGCTTACTCGAAATCACTGTTCGGATCCACTTCCCAAGCCGCCAGTTCTTTGGTCATGTTGTTATAGACGTGGATAGCAAGCACACTTTTCACATGGCTATGGTAGAGTAGATTGGATTTTCATATCGCCGGCAATACTGCGGCCGCCTCGCATGCCGATCAACTGCCGGGATGCGGTAACCACTCGGAACGATGACTGGCGTCCGGAGATTTGGAAAAGCGACCCTTTAGCAATACGCACGAGACGCGGGGTGCATACACGAACCCACGTGTTGAAGTAACGTCCAGGCATGATGTTTCATCGCCATTTATGCTATGCCCGTGCAAAAGCAACAACGTTGCCGACAATTAATGCGCTGCTCCATGGTCAGATCATACCTGAGCAGGATACTCCCCAGCGACGTAAACGGCAATGGAAGCATGCATTCCGCTGTGTTAGCGCTGTTTCAGAGTCATACCCAGTGTGCCTTTCCTAGCAAGGATTTCTACGGCCCACGGCCCCGACTAAGAGAACCTCGGTCAGGGATGAACAAAAAAGCTGATTGGCCCGTGTTCCAAAGTTTTTAATTTATCAAGTCATGATCCTTTGGGCGGTCGCTTCGGAGTGTCGGGCAGTCTCCGTATACTAGTACTATGGCAAATGGCTCATCATGTGCTCTCTCGCACGCACACGCACACGCATATACATGACTTTCTTGGGAACGGAACGGCTTACGTGAGTACATGCGCAATCAATCGTCCGAAGCATGGTGCAAGTTGACCCTGCATCTCTTGCGACTTTTTTCTTTTTTTCCACTAGGTCATTTGTTGATGTTTTCTTGGTGCTCGTAGTACTAGTAAAAACTACGTACTACTTACCTCTGTACCAGTCACCCAACTACTACTTCCGCTTGGCACCAGCCTTCGCCGAGTGAAATCCCATGCCCACATTATCTCGAGTAACCCCCCCTGAACTCTCCATTTTTCTTCTTCCAACGGCCCATTCTTACATCTCATCTTGGGAGAAATGCATTCCGTCACTTCTTTTTCCCCACTTCTTTTATTTTTGCCAACGGCCCACTAGCCGTCCGTTCCGTCTTTTGTGCCCACATGGATTCCTCAACAACGCCATGGTTGCATGCCAACGTCTTTTTGCCCAGCTGTACTTTGCGCTGTCGACCCCACGTCCAGGGCTCCGGGGCTCCGGTATCTTGCTCTCCTTGACCATTTTTCTGGTGTGCGTATGTACAAACGCATGGCACACATTTGAGGAATGTGTGCAACAGCAGATGAACCAAGGAGCCAGGTCTCCCTCCCCTTTCCAAGCTTAATCTAGGCAAATGTTCAAAAGGGATAGTGACATGTGATTGATATATAAAAAGTCAAAAAAAGAGGAAGAGATCAAAGAGTTGAAGGGAAAGACGGTGAAAGAATATCACACCGAAAAATCATAAGTATTTCTAATTAAGCACAAAAAAAAAGAATCTAACTTATTCCTGCTTTGTCGTGAATTCCGCCTCTCCGACTTCAGGTTGGCTTCCCGAGCTCCCTTGCTGCTTAGCAACTATACCCGCAATCGCGCTCTCCACCGCCGCCGCAACATCAATATGGAAGAATGGTCTATTCTGTCCGTGGACAGTCGTGACCTTGCCATTCGGTAATCTTCTGTTGCCATTCACAACGTGGATATCGTCTTGCGCCTCAGGGTCATGCAGTTTGACTTCTGGAGTCTCAAGCGGGGCGTAGCTGTAGACTGGATTCCAGTGCTGGCGTGAAGCAAAGCGCTCACGGTCAATGTATCCGAAGCCCGCGGTTGTCAGTGCGCGCTTGGTCCAGCGGCTGTTGATGGAGGCGAAATGCCACTCGACGGTTTCGGGTGCGGCGTGGCGGTCGAGCTGGGCGCGGACGTCAATAAGACCCTGGATCGAGGTTACGTCGACGTTGTTGACAGCGCTGAAATCGAGGATGATTGCACGGAGAATGGGCCGGTTGTCGTCGTAGTTGATTTGTTCACCGCGTCGTGGGCCTGATTGTTGCGAAATTAGTAATTTGAAATGGGGTAAGGGGGGTTTACATGGGGTGCATTCTTACCAGGATCATTCCAGGGCCGGTCACCGATCTTGGTGTATTTATCCAGTGTTGTGGGTCGGGAAATGGTTTGCGCATGGTGCACGAGTTCGTCCATGTATCCTTGTTGGTTGAGGTATGTAAAGCCTTCGGTGAAGCGGTAGATGAGCACACCAGGGTACGGTGTTTCAATGCCTACGAGCGGATTGGACCCGTCCTTGCGATTAACTGGAATGAAGGCTTCTCGGACAGAAGTTTCCGAACTGGGTGCGAAGTTTCCGTCTTCTTTGTGGGCGATTGTGTCCGGAGTTGCGCGGTAGATTTGGACTCTGCCAAGGAGAGCACCGTGTGTGAATAGTTGGCGCCAGAGCAAGAGCGCGAAAGAAGCAGCAATGGTGACGTAAATTCCGTTTTCAATGTTGGTGAAGATGGTGACAAAGACACCGGCAAAGAATATGATGACTTCTAGGGGCGAAGTTTCCCAAAACTGGAAAACGACGTTGGGAGGCGTGATAAGATCACCGACAGCGTGAATAATGATGGCTGCTAGTGTAGCCGAGGGAATATAGAAGAACATAGCTGTCAAAGCGTACAGCGCCAGGAGGACGATGATGGCGGTAAAGATACCAGCCAACGGAGTACGAACACCGGCTTTCGACTTGATGGCGGTACGAGAGAAGGAGCCGGTAGCAGGGTACGCACCCAAAAATGGTCCAAGGACATTGGTAAAACCAACGGCGACGAGTTCTTGCGATGCTGCAGAGGTATGTCAGTTTCTTCCTAATGACAAAAGTTCAAGGACGCTACTTACGGTTAATGACATAGTTGTTGATGCGACCAAACGATTTTGAAATGGCAATGTGTTCGAGGATCAAAACAATAATAGTTACCGGAATATCCGAAGCAATGGATGAGAGAATCTTCTGATCCATCTTAGGAGCACCGGCGTGCTGGAAACCGCGAGGGACATGGCCTAAAATCTTGAATTTGGCCAGCTTGACGTTCTTGTGGACACCTTTGATGTCCTTGTTGGCAAGCCAGCTAATCATGATATAGAGCAAGATGACAAAAGCCATGCGCAGTGTGCCCAACTAGTGGACGAGTCAGCGTTTTTCTTTGTGTCAGAACCACATTACTTACGAAGAACCAAAGCTTTTGCTTTGATGGCTGCTTCCTTGACATGAAGTTGCAGACGAAGCGAATGGAATACAGCATTACAAGGGCACTGAGTCCCATGGCAGCATCGAGCTTTGTGCGACCCAGACCCTTGAGAGTGTCGATGATTACACGGTACGTAGCTCCACGGGTGTTGACACCAGAAATACCCATCATCGTAGGCACTTGGCCAGCTCCAATTGAGATGGCGGCACCCGTCATGAAAGACGTAATAGCAACCAATGGGATAAGTTCCACGATTCGTCCAAGCCTAGTAAGACCAAGGAAGAGCAAGACCGAACCGGCAATAACGGATAGTGCTCTGGCAATGTCCACGGCATCAATTCCTGGATCTTTTTCCTGAATTTTGGTCACGATGTTGCCGACAATTGTGCTCATCACGGCCACAGTACCGATTGTGATGTCCTTGGAAGTAGCGAAAGCCCAGTAGAGAATGAAACCGACGAAGCTGGTATAGAGACCGTACTCCGGTGGTAGCTTTGCCAATAGAGCGTAGGCCATACCCTGAGGAATAACGACGAACCCAACAGTAACACCGGCAACGACATCGCCAAAAAGCCATGTCAAGTTGTAGTGAAAGATCCAGTCCAGAAACGGAAAGAGGCTTCTAAAATAGCGCTTGATGCCACCTGCGGACGGCTTGAATTGGGAGAGCCATTCTCCTGCGGTTGGTTCGTGCTCGACGTCTACCGTTGATTAGCTGTAAGCTACTTTGATATGGATTCCTCATGCTCACATGTCTCGACAGACGAGATGGATGCTGCGCCAGAAACCTCGGGCTCTTTCCGGTAGTCAAGATTGATCCCAAGCACCTTGGCTGCCGTGCGACCAGCCGTTGCCATGATGCCGCGTGAACGATAGGGGTAAGCAGAACTCAGGAAAGGCTTGGTTATAAGCGACGAGCTGAAATTCTCGAGCAAGTCACTCGGCGACCACTAAAGCTCTGTCGCGGTAGTAGGGGAAGTCCCAGGTTAGAATCCGAGTCGAAGGGCCTTGAAGGATTCCTAGGGAAGTGCTTCTGACTTCTGGTATGAGACGAATGCAAGCTTATATGAAATTTATGAGCTGCTGGCAGGGACAAAGATTGTGAATGCTCCGGGAGCTGATGCCGATGAAGCACCGTATCGACACAAACCTTAGGCGGAGGCGGAATCACACGTGCCTTATTTGGAGATAGCCTCGTGGGAGGGGCGTACATCAAGACGGCAAACCCAACTTGGCATGCGCCAGAGTGTCACTGGTGTCGCTCCGCGCAAATCACAACGCAGCATCGTCATCACCCCAGAGCGCCCGCACATGGCGTGCTTGCGTTGAGCGGGATGGTACGTATTGGCAGACCAAAGGCCAGGCCTTGGAAAGGCTGGGCCGACTACATCGCAGAGTTTTGCAAGGCCTGGCCTTGAGTGAGAAGACAAATGTGGCTTTTGAGGCGCCGCCGGGGCGGCGTGGGGGAACTAGGATAGCTGGTTGGCTCCTCTAGTGGTGCCTATCTCCGGTACCGCTGGTTACCTTTGTTTTTGACCCCAGAGTATTTCCCTTTTGCTTCTGAAACTGCTTTCTGTCGGTGTCGTCTACCAGATGGTTCAAAATTCAATTGCGAACTGTGAGTGCGGCGCCGAGGAGGTGGCATGTCTTAGCATGGGCTTGGTTTTGGTGAGGATGAATGGTATCATGAACGTCATTAACGCCAAGAATTGCGACATCTCGGAAGGCGGCGTTGGCGCTTGGTAGGATGCTTGTTGTACCCACCTCTTCCTATTTCAGCCGCATTTGAACTACCAGTAGGCAGCTAGCCAGCCTTTTTCCGCGGGGTGAAGATATGGGGAAGAATACCGGGGACTTGGTAACTCTCTATTAGTAGAGCTGGCGGATGGCCTAGCTCTTCACTGTAAGCTTAGTTGTGCGTTGCAAAAGTTAAACACCATTGCCCCTGATCCAGTTATTTCATGCTTCAGGGACAGATGTTCGGTGCTATAGAAAATACCTCAAGACAATAACTATCGTATAATGAAAGAGAGAAAGGTGTGTGTGCGGCACTACTACAGCACACCCTCAGAAACAGTGCCACATGACAATTCAATTCATCATGGATCAGCTATTGATAGACTCTTCCATGGAAAGGTGGCTGATCATCTGGAATACTACCAATGAACTAGAAATTTGGTGGACTTAACCATGTGTGATCCATGTCAGTGGCTGTTTGTTCATTGCTTCGCATTCGCTCTCGCCCCATCACATTTTTTGCGCCATTATTTCGCATTTCCTTTCGATCTTCAAGGGCAAGAGTTTTTTCAGCCCAAGCACGTTCGTGAATATCAGTGGTCAGACTGGCAGTACTTCGGCGACTGGCCATGTTCAGGGACATCATATCTATCGTAAGCACATCCCAACACCAATTCTAGATGCGCCGTAGTCGCCTGACGTGGTTCTGAATGGCCCCGTTTGTAGCCCGACAATATGGTAGGCCTGCAGGCACGGGAGCAGGGAACTTACTCCAACCTCATCCCAGGCATCCCCCACACGGTGAGCCCGACGACCCGACGCGAGCCTAAATCTGTAGCCAGTAAACGCTCATATCTTGTGTCATGAAGTAACGCCACCGGTGCTTTCATGGGTGTAAAGGACCGGTGGTGTGTAGAATCTCGGTATACGACCGTCATCCCTAGACGATCACTGGCTCCGCCCAGCACTCTGGCTTCAGATCTTCGCGTATATTCTGATATATTTGTGACATGGGAAAAATTGTCGCGTGACAGGGTGATGTTTCAGGGAAGGATGTTCGCGGAATACGCTGATAATGGATGTTGTTGTACGTTCATGAGTCCAGACTGAGGCGTTGTCATTTCAGCTAGATGTTTGTTATTTTTGAATCGAGATATCAGAGAGTAACGAAAGACCCGGTATCTGCGAGCGATGTGCTTTCTGGAAAACATTTCCTCCCCTGGTTATTATTCACAATCATCGACACGCTATATATTATGAGCAACTGCGCAGTAACGCTTGGTAGGAGCTGTAGATGCAGATAGACAAGACATGTCTATGATATGGAAGTCATGTCAAGGTTCTCTCTACCCTATTTTTCTTCTTCTTAGATTTCAAACTCTCTATTCTTTGCGGTGCGAGTAATCTCTGTCCTGGATAGAAGATGTCTTTTGCTTAGGCACTGGAGGTCAACGGGCAAGACGCCATGGATTCCAGCAGGACTTTCGTCCAGCAGCGAAAAAGACAGCAGCGGTTGCTTAACTGGTGGACCAGGCGTTGCGAGAACACTGTACTTTAGAAAGATAACCCCGCGAATAGGCGAAACTGGGTGGTGTAGCAGCACTATAAATCCCGAGCCTTACCCGTCCGCATGCCCTAAGGGAGGCTTTTAGATAGGACATTAAATCTGAACACACACACACACACACACACTAGAGGTCAACGAAGATTGACACGAACTTCTCAAAATCAGACAGTACTGAGTCGACCAAGTGCACCGACAGAGCAACATGTGTGAGTTTGGGTGTCATTAGCACTTTCTCAGAGGCAACCTTTACAAACTGATTCTATACAGACATTGGGTTGCATTTATGACTGAGGACGATAGGAGAGTTATGACGTTACTGTTATGCTGAGCAGTCCTACCTCGAAATCCGGTACTAACCTCGAATTTCATAGAGACCTGTCATCGTCAGAGCTACAACACATTATCATTTCTTGACGACTTGTTTGATTAAAATCATTGGATTGAGTCGAAAGTGGTCAAATATGCTAGAGATTAAGTCACAGCCCACATCTGTACTTTAACGTGAGTATTCACAAATACATACTTCACGACACGTTGGATGCTGTCCCTCAATAATGTAACAGCTGAGCTACCACCCCGATCCGTATCCGAACAGGATCCGAACTAGTGTACAGATTAGCTAATTGGAAGCTTAGGATATAAAAGCCAACCCTCTGTGAAAGCTTATTCTGTAGTTTTTCAATATCCTTTCGTACAGGACCTATAGGTGTTCTATCTAGTTCTTGGATTGTTTGTGTTTCACGCACTTCCATATGCCTCCGAGTGACCCTATCTCCGAAACGAACCCGATACTTCTTGCCTGAGCCGTTACAAACAACCAGATTGATTATTTCCAAAACATAATTCCTGAAAAGGAGATACATGTAACTACTATTGAGGAAAACTGCCCCTGATAAAAACAGGTCATGTGATCTTTGGACTGGATCGCTAGTCTGTACAAGGCAAAAGCAATTCAAAAATATGTAAGATAACGTTACAGACTAAACTCATCTCAAGCTAGCTCAGAACAAAAAGAAGTACTGATCAGGCTTAGCAAGCGTTATTCACATATGCGACAACTTATTAAGGAGCGTCTGTAGAATCAAAACACAACAGCACTCTGGATTTCCAATTCTTCCCGTTATGAAGCTGCATCGAACTCGACAACCCTCGATATCATACAGTACATCAAAATAGGTAATCAATTCGAATCCCCCCCCTCTACCACCAAAAGTCACATCCGAAATCTGGAGACATCTGTTACACGGGGTTGGGATCTATACTTCTCTGTCC